AAAGAGAGGAAATGATTGGAGAGAATCAGGTTCATGGTAGGTCCATTCAAAGACGAAAAAAAAGGCTCTCGCCATTATCCTCCAACTTCCTTAATGTCGATGGAGACGCAAAATTGAGATTTGAGAGCATACACACATTTAACTTGGATAATAAACCATGGCTTTATGAAAAGCTTCTCCATCACATAAATTTTCCATTTAAATGTTTTAATAGTCTGCAGAATTATGGCAGTCATTGATTACTAGTGTTAGATAAAAGTTGCATGATATGCTTGTAAATATTTTTCCCATGTCTAGTAATAATTTGACAAACGTACGATCAATGACTGCTTCTGGACCTGAAGAGGAGGAGGAATCACCTCTATAAAACCAATTGCAAGCCCATTGAAGACAGAAGACTACGCTCTCTGTGAAACAGTTTTGCAAGGGAAGAGGCACTCGAAAGTAACATATGATTCAGATGCACTCAACAATCATAAAAAGGAGAGCATAGTGGAAAGGTTCAAGTAATTGCTACATATTATGAGGACATGAAGCACTTAATAACTCCTGCGTGTGGATTTGAGTTCAAGTCAATTAGAAGATAAGTAAATCAGGAGGAGGTTGATAGCTTAGCAAAAATTCTACAAGGCTTTTTTGGCTTCAAGTTATGCAGATCATCCATCACTTAAATGCTAATGAAGTTTCTTTCCTTTGTATCCAAAAACGGATCCATGGTTAAAAGCCTACTAATGGGCCATGCTAATTCAGGCCCAATATGATTTTAGCACAACGCTATCGAACAAGTATAATAATACCCTCCCTGTTAAACCCTAGCAATATTCGCGGCTCCTGATTTCTTCCTCCCTCTAACGCGTAAAAGGTACTGAATCCATCTTCTTCTCCTTCTATCTCCCTTGTCTCTTCTTCATGGCTTCCAAGTTCTTGATTTTGGTTTAGTATATTTCTACTCACGGTTGGTTTTGAAGACTATGACAACAGAGTATCGACTTTCCTCGTGTTCTGTCTTAATTATGTCTAAAGATGTAGATTTTCCCTCTGTTACTAGCTTTGGCTACAAAAAAAAATCAAGCTTTGGTAGTTTTTTTAATCGTGGTGACTCTGATACCTTGAGCTGATTCAAGGGTTCTTCTCTTAATTTGTTATTCAGGTGCTGACTTGAGCTTGTGAAAATGCTCGTACTGTTCGAAACTCCAGCTGGATTCGCCCTCTTTAAAGTATTAGATGAAGGAAAGCTCTCTAATGTTGAGGTTATTATCTACATTAACCTTAACCTTTTTGTCTTTTGTGTCGATTGTTTTCTTTTATTTCTAAAAGTATGTAACTTTCTCCTTTGTAGGATTTGGGTAAAGAGTTCTCGTCTGCAGAGAAGGCCCGAAAGGTGATTGATTTCTTTTGTTTTACACATACAGTGCCTGGCTTATATGTTTATCATTGGTTTCTCATATAATTTTGTTGGCTATTACACAGATGGTCAAGCTAAAAGCTTTTGACAAGTTTGACAACACATCTGAAGCTCTTGAAGCTGTCGCTAAATTGCTTGAGGGAACTCCTGGCAAGGGTCTGCGCAAATTTCTGAAATCTAACTGCAAAGGCGAAGCCTTAGCTGTGGCTGATTCTAAGCTTGGAAATATCATCAAGGAGAAGTTGGTGTGTATTTTGTTTGGAGCTTTCATTAAGTGCTTTTTTTTTTCATTCCTGAGTATTGTTGTTTCTTACGGAGTTGCTTCACTTATGTAGAAAATAGACTGTGTTCACAACAATGCTGTTATGGAGCTGTTACGAGGTGTGAGAAGCCAGCTTACTGAACTTATATCTGGATTGGGGGATCAAGACTTGGCTCCAATGAGCCTGGGGTTGTCTCACAGCCTTGCTAGATACAAACTGAAGTTCAGTGCTGACAAGGTAGTCTTTCTCCCTGCCTTTGATTTATATCAGTCCTCTGGATTATGATTTGTTGGATTTAGCTTACTTTTGATACGTTATGGAACTTTTGTGTTGAACTTGTATCCTTTTTTGCTCTTCCAACGGTAGTGTTTGAAACGCCATTGAGTTTCTCTGTATTTCTTGCGTTTTGTTTGTGCTTTTCTTACATATCTGTATACTTAATTTTTTCTTAGGTGGATACCATGGTAATCCAGGCTATTGGTCTGCTTGATGATCTGGACAAAGAGCTCAACACATATGCCATGAGGGTTCGTGAGTGGTATGGTTGGCATTTTCCTGAGCTAGCGAAGATCATACAGGACAATATCCTCTATGCCAAGTCTGTAAAATTAATGGGAAATCGTATTAATGCCGCAAAGCTAGACTTCTCTGAGGTTAAGCCCTGTCTACCATCCTTTTTGATTTTTTTTTTGTTTCAAGATTTGACTTAAGTAGAGATTAAGCACAGAGTTTGCTTTTTGCTTGAAACTAATTATACATTCTTTCTAAGACATTTTTTTTCTGTGTCTGGCCTACATCTCCAGATATTGGCTGATGAAATTGAGGTTGAACTAAAAGAGGCTGCTGTGATATCTATGGGAACTGAAGTCAGTGACCTTGATTTATTGCATATCCGGGAACTCTGCGACCAGGTTCTTTCTCTTTCTGAGTACAGAGCTCAGCTTTATGACTACTTGAAGAGCAGGATGAACACAATTGCACCTAATCTGACTGCTCTTGTCGGGGAGCTAGTCGGTGCTCGCCTAATTTCTCATGGTGGTAGTTTATTGAACCTATCAAAGCAACCTGGGAGCACTATTCAGATTCTTGGAGCTGAAAAAGCCCTATTTAGAGCCCTCAAAACCAAGCACGCCACTCCAAAGTACGGTCTAATTTACCATGCATCTGTGGTTGGCCAAGCTGCACCGAACCGGAAGGGTAGAATCTCACGGTCACTAGCTGCCAAAGCTGCTCTTTGTATTCGGTATGATGCTCTTGGTGATGGCCAGGACAACACTATGGGAGTGGAAAGCCGTTTAAAGGTACTTTTAAATACATTTTACTCTCCCCTCTGTCTTTGCTAACATTTCCTTCCTTCATTGATGGTCTTTTTTTATTTTTGATAGGTTGAAGCACGGTCGAGAAATCTCGAAGGCAAAGACTTGGGACGTCTGTCCGGTTCAGCTAAAGGTAAACCAAAGATTGAAGTTTACGACAAGGATAAAAAGAAGGGATCTGGAGGTCTGATAACTCCTGCTAAGGTCAGATTAATCCTCAACTCTCTCACAGATTATTCTTGATATATTGCTTGTAATTTTGGTTAAATGGTTAAGCTCTTTGACTGTTGTTTTGTGCAGACCTACAACACTGCTGCAGACTCTCTTATCGGGCAAACTCCTACAGCGGATTCAGCTGAGAATGGTGTCGAAAAGAAGAAAGAGAAAAAGAAGGCTGATGCAGAGGAAGAAACTGAAATTGAGGAACCCTCGAAGAAGAAGACTAAGAAGAAGAAAACAGAAGTAGAAGCCGAAACCGAAGAGCCTGCAAAGAAGGAGAAAAAGAAGAAGAGAAAACACGAGGAAGCAGAAACCGAAATGCCTGCCAACAAGAAAGAAAAGAAGGAGAAGAAGAAAAAGAAAAGTGAGCTCTGAGGAGAGAGTTTTATAAATTTTGCGTGCGTATGTTTAGTGACTTTATGTTTTATCACAAGAACCAAAAAAAAAAAAGGTTAGTTAGCTTAATATTGGTTTTGGGATAGATATTTAGATAATTACTATGTACATAATGAAATTTAGGTATCTACGAGAAATAAGCAAAAGTTGGATTAATTTGCCTTTACGAAATTGGTTAAGAAAAGTAGTAAAAAATCATTAATATGACCATCTTTGTTTTAAGGAAAATAGTAAAAATCCCTTAAAATTTTTTTGTGACATCTATGTTTTTTTTTTTACAAAATCAATTACTCTGATCTCTGAAAAAAAAATCGAGATTGATCTTGACTTATGCAAATTAATCTTGATTCAATGGTCATATGGCAGTATAATTGACTATATTCTTATTTTATGTATTGTTGTAGTTAGCTAAGATTCTAATAGTGATCCCAAACGGCTGTACAGTTGACTATATTCCTATTTTTTATGTTGTTGTAGTTGACTAAAATCCATATTTTGTATAGTTGACTATATTCATACTTTATGTGTTGTTCTAATTAGCTATTCAACTAATAATATAGTGAACTATATAATCTTTACAACAATTAATTCAATTGTAATAATATAGTTAACTATGTAATATTTACAATTCTATGTCTTTTAGTCTATGTTTATCAAGATAGTTAACTAAATAACACATATAATATATATAGTTAACTAAAATAGTTCACTGGTTATATACGAATAGTTCGCTATTTAATCATGTATAATGAAAAAAATAGTTTACTATGTAAAACATTGCATTGATCTAGTTCGATAGTTATACTTCGTAGTCAGTTATACCATTCACATTGTTATTAACAAAGCAGTAGACATTCACCTTGTTATTGACTGGTTCAAGACCAGAACGAAACAATCGCTTGAGTAATTTTGGAGATATGAATGACGAAGAAATTGAAAGAAAGTGGAAGAAATACGAATTAAAAAAACAAAAAGATGATAGTGCAGATCCGCAAAAGCAAATTGGATGTATGAATGAGATTTTTTAAAATTTTGATTGTCATCATGCTCTCACAGACCGACGAAAAAGCCTTACTTTTGGTGAAAAAATTAATAGATATTTTAATAATTTTAAACACTCCTTTTTTGCTTTGTCTCTT